CTGCATGGCAGCCCTGTGCTGCTCCACGTGCCGGGAGGAGAGCAGTCCGCAGGCCTTGTGCCCTGGCACAGACAGGCCACAACAGCTAAAACACAGCAGGTAAAACACCGGAGGCGTCCGGCATGCGCCAGCTGCCCGGCCGGCAGCAGCGGTTCCCTTTTGGCACGAGGGCTCAGTGGTGGCAGCAGCTGTAGAAGTAGGGACTGCTCCTCTGGCCCAGGTTGACACTCTTGTCCTCTGGAAGAGAGCAGGAGCAGCAGGCTGCCAGCACATCCATGCCATGAGATGCTGTGTGGCAGCCCAAAAGCCCCTGGTCCCAGGCATGGCCGCAGCAGGTCCCCTGAGGAGGGTTCGGTGCCCCATGGAGAAGCAGCAAGGCCCAGGGCCACGGCACGGCCCAAGGCAATGGCGCAGCCCAGGGCAGGAGGCACAGCCAGGCTGAGCAGGCCTGATGCAGAGCTGAGCCAGTCCTGCAGCCTAGTGAAGCTCCTGGCTGCCAAAGGCCACCATGGCCCAGCTGGGTGGACGTGCTGAGCCTGGCCTAAGCAGGGACGAGGATGCTGTGATGGGACCCAACCTTCACGGGACAACTCCCAGCACCGAGCTGCAGCAGCTCCAAGCAGGGCAGAGGTGAGGAAGGGCCCTGCCAGACCCTCCATCGCTCATCCTACACACTCTCACTGGAGGCACAGGCACCTCCCAGCACAGGAGAGGTGCCTGGGGAGGGACAGCTCCTGCCTACTCACCCGTCATCACCTGGAAGGCGGAGAAGTTGACGTAGTCCTCGGCCACCTTCTGGAACAGTTCATCTGTGGGGGAGAGGGGGCACAGTGGGTGTGGGTCCCCCTTCCAGGAAGAGCCCCCAGCCCTGCTCTGCCCAGGGCACAGCCCCAGCAAGGGGCTACTCACCCACACTCTGGCCTGTCTTACTGGAGGTCTCAAAGTGGTCTGCTTTGATCTCTGAAACAAGGGTGCAGGTTGGCACTTGCTGCAGGTGCAGGATATGGCCCAAAGGCCTCAGTTGCCCCCAGAGTCACCTCTTGGGCACAGCTGCTGACAGGGGGCTGGCAGGGATCCAGGGCAGGGCTCTTGGCTCCCTGGCCCAGCTGGCCATGTGCCTGCCCATGTCAGGACATGCCGTGCCCGGGGAGGTCCCTGATAGAGCTGGCACCTCACCGCACACAGAGCCTTGGTGCCACCAGATCTGCTGCAGGCCCAGGGCAAGGGCAGAGCCCCTCGCACACAGATCCATTCCCCATGCCCCCCACCCCTCAGTGCTGCGACAGGCCCCAGGAAGGGCCAGCAGTGATTGTACCATCAGCATAGTCCTGCACATCATGGAAGTCAACTCCCCGCTTCCTCCTGTCCTCCTCCAGCAGGTCACACTTGGTGCCACACAGGTAGATCCGGCAGCCCTGGGGCAGGGAGAGGGATGGGAGGGATGAACCCACGTCTCCATCAGCAGCCCCCCTGCCCCAGAGTGAGGCTGTGCAGCCCCCCAGCACCCCTGTACCTCCTCGCAGTTCTGTAGCTCGTTCACCCAGAACTTGGCTCGCTGGAAACTGCCGCTGTCAGTGAGATCTGGGGAGCGAGAGGTGTCAGGGTCTGTCCAATGCCTTCCTCAGTGCCTGACCCACCAGTGCTGCCACCACCCTGTCCCAGGATCCTGGGACCTCCCATCCTCTGTGCCCTTACCATAGCAGACGACAGCAGCCCGGGCCCCTCGGTAGTAGATGCGGCTCATGGCCTCGTAGCGCTCCGAGCCAGCCGTGTCCTGTGGAACACAGGGAAGTGCTTCGCAGGTGACTCTTGGAGACCCTTGAGCCAGGAGGTGGCTGGGGATGTCAGCACAGCCCTTGCCTCTGCACTTACCCAGATTCCCAGGGTCACTGTCTGCTCCCCCACAGACATCACCTTGGCCACGAAGGCAGCTCCAATCGTCTGGAAGTGAAGCAGGAGGAGCAGTGGGGACCGGCCCAGGGATGCCCGGAGCATCTGGGCCTGGGAACATGGTGAGAACCAGCCCGGGAACACGGGGAAACACACCCAGAGATGTAGAAGGAGAGAGTAAGGAAACAAGGGGACCAACTCGCGGGCGTGGGAGGGGTGTGGAGGGGCTACAGCCCGGCTATGGCGGGGGACAACACGAGAGAACACCGTACCAGGGACGTGGTCTCACCATGCCAGAGACACGGCGGGGAAACGAGGGGACCGACCCGAAGGCACGGGCGAGATAAGGAGGGCACCAGCCCGGGGATCGGGAGGGGTGAACACGAAGGGACCACCCTGTGGGACATGAGAGCGACGCAGGGGACACTGTCGTGGGTACGTGGGAGGCACCGTGCCGGGGATAGAATGGGGAAACGAGGGGACAGACCCGAGAGCGTGGGAGGGTTGGAAGGGTCCTATCCCGGGGCTGACGGGGGGGACAACACGAGGGTACACCGTCCCGGGGATGCGGAGGGATGCGGCGCGCGGACGGGCCACACAAGGGGCTCATCCCGGGCAGCCGCGGGTGACGCGATGCCGCGGAGGCGCCGCCGCCGCAGCAGCAGCAGCGCGGCGGCGCTGCCGGTGCCCGTGTGTCACTCACGTTCTGGTAGGGCCCGGCGCGGAAGCGGCCGTGGGCGCAGCGCTCCACCAGGCTGCTCTTGCCCACGCCCTCCTGCCCCAGCAGCACCACCTTGGCGTCCACCCGCCGCCCGCTCATCCTCGCGCCGCCGCCGCGGGCGGGGCCGCTCGGGCGGGGCGGGCCCGGAACCGGGCGGGGCGGGCCCGGACGTGCGCAGGGCCGGGCGGGGCGCGCGGGCCGCATGGCGGCCGCCCAGCAGGCGCGGGCCTGAGCGCCGGGCCCATGGGGAAGTACTGCGCCAGCCTGGGCGTCCTCAAGGGGCCCTGGGACCAGGTGTTCGCCGCCTTCTGGCAGCGCTACCCCAACCCCTACAGGTGCGCCTGGGCCCCTCCCCGACCCCCCCTGCGCCCGCTGCCCTTCCCCCCCCCCCCCCCCCCCCCCCCCCCCCCCCCCCCCCCCCCCCCCCCCCCCCCCCCCCCCCCCCATCCCTCTGCCATTTGGGAATGCTGTCCCTCATCCTCAGCCCAGCCCTTTCCCCGGGGGTCCCGCGGGGGCTCTGCTCGTCCCCTTCCAGCATTCTGGGATGAGTGCACTCAGCGGGCAGCTGGTTTCCCCCTCCCTTAATCCAACGGTGCCTGGTGGTTCCCAGCCCCGAGTGGGGTTGGCCGGGAAGTAGCAGGGCTTGATGTTTTCTTCCCCCGTTTTAGCAAACATGTCCTGACCGAAGACATCGTGCACCGGGAGGTGACACCGGACCACAAGCTGCTGTCGCGGCGGCTCCTGACCAAGACCAACCGGATGCCGCGCTGGGCAGAGCGCTTCTTCCCAGCCAATGTCGCCCACTCCGTCTACATCCTGGAGGACTCTATCGTGGACCCCAAGAACCGGACCATGACCACGTTCACCTGGAACATCAACCACGCTCGTCTCATGGTAGGTGCCGCGGGCGGGAGGGCGCAGAGGGGTGGAGGGGGCCCAGCGGTGCCCACGGCCGGGCTGTGCCTTCTGCAGGTGGTGGAGGAGCGCTGCGTGTACCGGGTGAACCCGGAGAACAGCAACTGGACCGAGGTCAAGCGGGAGGCCTGGGTATCCTCCAGCCTGTTTGGCGTCTCGCGGGCCATCCAGGTGAGCACTGCTCGAGCAGCACTGTGTGCCCCTCTAAAGCTGCTGCTTCCCCTTTCCCTACTCATTCCTTGTGATGGTTTTTACACCCTTTCCCCTTATCGCCCCAGCCCTCATGAGCTCTTGGGGCATCCAGAAGCATCACTCTCAAAGTCAGTGTTTGTGATTTCTCAAGCTGGGACACAAGCCCCATGGGCTGTGTGTGACAGGAGTTGCACCTTCACTGACTTTTCCCTTGCAGGAGTTTGGTCTGGCCAGGTTCAAAAGCAACGTGACCAAGAGCACTAAGGGATTTGAATACGTGCTAGCAAGAATGCAAGGTGGGCACCAAGGGCAGGCTGGGGCTGACCGGGACGGGTCTCTTGGAGTTAGAGGTCACACTGGGAACACTCCAGTCCACGGGCAGGTCGTAGCTTGAACGGATCTGTGAAATCGTCCTCCCTTGCCTTTGCCCCACATCTTGGCACAGCCTGCCCCTCCTGAGCGGAACAGCCCGGCAGTGATTGCAGGGCTGGGCAGGGGTGGAGCGCAGTGCGGGCAGGAGGGGATGTGACAGGGCAGCAGTCACGTGCCTGCGGTTCCCCTGTGCAACGTGCCCTGACGTGCCAGGGTCAAGAGCACTGGGCTCATCTGCGTGGGGAAGTGCCTCGGTGCCAAGGCGGCTGGGCAGGTCTGGCCGGCACTCCAGTGCCAGGGCAGGGCTGGGTTAACAGCTTCCATGTTATAGGAGAAGCTCCATCCAAAACACTGGTGGAGACAGCCAAGGAAGCGACCGAGAAAGCCAAGGAGACAGCTCTGGCTGCTACGGAGAAAGCCAAGGACCTGGCGAGCAAGGCAGCCACCAAGAAGAAGCAGTACGTGTGAGGGGCCAGCTGCACCAGGACAGATAGGAACCTCCTTAGATTTTATATTTTTAAAGAAACTGTACAAGTCTGACAATCAGCTGCTGTTAGACCCTTTCTGAGATGTAATTATCATTAAAGAATTGACTCCCACCTCTGATTTGGCTGGGACTGGCCTGGCTAGAGCAAAGCCCAGTGCTGCCCTCTAGTCTGGGGCTCCAGCCTGCTGCCAGGATCACAGGGAAGACATAGGCCAGGGTTTTACCAAGTTCCTTTACTATAAAAGTGTGGGGTCTGTACAAAAGAGCAGGGTGGCTGTGGGAGCACAAAGGCAGGTTGCTTAATGCACTTGTTTCACCTTTCTGTCTCTCCAGGGGTGGGAGAGCCCTCCTGTAGTCATGTCTGCAGTGGGCAGCACTGCCACATGCCTGTGTCTTGCAGCCCCCAGACTGCCTAGGGGTGCGCAGGGGGAGGTGTGAGGGTTTCCCCGAGACAGCTGGGCCCTCTCCCAGTGCCTCTCCTAGTGCTTTGCAGTGCACAGTGGGTGCCACAGTGCAGTGCCAGCCCCATGCCCCCAGTGCTGCCCAGCTGCTGGAGGCCAAGCTGAGTGCTCATCCCCACCTGTGGCCCCTTACCCTGGCTGTGATGAGGCCGGGGGAGGCTGCATTTCCAGCAGGAAGGAGGCGGGCAGGCAGTGCAGGGAAGGCAGTGGGCACAGTCAGGATTCCGGGCTGTGGAGGCTGGAGTAGCTGTGGTCCCTCCCAGTGCCGAAGGCGTGCAGCAGGTCCCCACCGAACACCACGCCATCCACCTCTACCTCGGCATCCTCTGGGCACCGGGGAGAGCCCAAGTCAGGCCCCCGGCTGCTTTTCCTTTCCTGCCCACTCTCCATCTTTTCCCCTCCCTTACCTTCCTCGGAGGGCTCCGAGAACTGGGATGAGTCCAGGCTGTCAGCCCGTGACCGTTCCCCGTCGGTGGGTAGGAGCAGCCATTCCAGCCGCCGCCGCAGGCTCCGCTGCCGGTCCCGCAGGCGGTCCTTGGCCCTCCGCGCCCTGAGCTCCTGCTCCTCCAGCCTCTGCGGGGCCCCAGCGAGCCATGAGAGGGGCAGAGCTAGGAGGGCCTGTTACCACATGGGGTCCCCCGAGCGGTAACGCGGCCATCCCCCCTCACCTGGATGTGAAGCCGGGCACGGTGCAGGAGGCTCAGCGTGGTGGGACGGGTCGGCTCCGAGCCCACCGGCACCTGCTGCTTCAGCCGCTCCAAGCAGCACCGGAGCTGGGCTCTCCTGCAGCCGGGCGGGAGGAGACGACGCGGCGGTCAGCCCGGGGGTGGGCCCGCGGGCACAGCCACCCCCTGTCCCGCCGCTCTCCCCCCATGCCTCGATACCTGTGCTTCTCCAGCGCGTTGTGTACCGACCTGCGGGAGGAAAGGCCGCCGGCGATCAGCACCGGCGCCGCCGGCCACCGCCATCCACCCACTCTCCCGCCGCTCACCTGACGCTGCCCACGGCCCGGCGCGACCGCGCGGGGCAGAGCGAGGCGTAGCCGTGCTCGGCCTTGGCGAGGCTGGGCGGGTCGCGGTGGTCCCGGTGCTCCAGGAACTCGGCCGCCTGGAGCAGCACCTGGATGCTGGTGGTGGCCGCGGGCTCCATGGCGGGGCGGGGGGGGCGGGAGGGGGGGCGAGGGCCGCGCTCTGATTGGCTGCGGGGCGCCGCGCGCCTTTGACGTCACCGCGGCGGGCAAATAACTTCGGGCGGGAAAGCGGGTGCTTCAAATTTGAATCGGGGGGCGGGGCCTGGGCGGGACACGCCCCCATCGGGAGAGCCGCGGGCCCCGTCCTGGTTAATTAATGACCGCGCGTGGCCGCGCCCCCCGGGATCTACTCCCGTGTCTGCCCACGTGCGTGCCTGGGGATGCCTGAGTCGCCCCTACCGGGCCACGGGAGCTGGGCAGGGAGCTCTCACAGGCCCCCGGTCACGCCCCGCGACCCCCAGACCGCTTGGGACACCCTGAGCCGCGCCCTCCCGCTCCCACGGGTGTTCCTACACTGGCTGCGACCACCTGTCCCCCCCTTCCCTGCCCCGGGAACCCAATGCAACGCGGCCCAAGCCAGGCGGGTTTATCTCTTTATTAAAATCCATCGGGTGCAGGCTGTGGGGAAGGGAGGGGAGGGGAGCGCCGGGCCCCCGGGCACGGCACTGCACGGCGGGCGGCCCCGGGGCACCCGCCGTCATGTGAGGGCTGTTTGCACCTTCTCAGGCCAGGCCGCGGGGTGGGGGGGAGACTCTGCCCCGGGCCCAACAGCAGCCAAAGTTCACCTGAAAAAAAAACACCACGAAGCACATTTCCAGCCGGGGGGCAGGCACACGGCAGCAGCACGCGGTTCACTGAATGCAGGGCACGGCCACGGTGCATCGGGAGGGGCGGTCCTGCGCCCACCATCTGTGGGGTTCTGGCCTGGTGTGAGGGGGAGTCCCACCGCCGTGTGGGGGGTCCTGCCGTCATGCCCACCCGGCTCTGACGTGAGTCACGGGGCTGAGGAGCTGCGCAGCAGCCCTGGAGCAGCCCTTTGCCTCTGGTGCATGGCCTCCTGCGGATGCAGCTCTGGCAGAGGGGCTCTCACTGGTTCCGGGCACACCGGGATGCGGGTGAGAGGTGTGTGGTGTAGCAGTGGGTGCAGACACGCACGGGTTTGGTGTGGCCATAATGCGGCAATGCCGCGGCGTGTGGTGAGCAGCGGGCACAGAAGATCTGCCAGGAGAGGGCCAGAGCGGGGCTGAGCAGAGCTGGGTCCCTTGGGGACCCCACACGCCCCAGCCCAGCCCCATCCTACCTTCCCACAGCTGCGGCAGTGGTGCCGGCGGCGCAGCAGGGTGAAGGCTGAGCGGCAGGCAGAGCATTGGCTGCACGTGCTGTCGGGCACCCACTCGGGCAGGCGGTGAGTGCCTGCTGGGCAAAACATATTGGTAAAAACCGCCTGTGCCAGCCCCCCTCACAGCCAGACTCCCTCAGCAGGCAGGATCAGCCCCAGCCTCACACCCGCCCCAGAGTCATGGCACCTGGGCAGCCCCTTACCTGCCCTCCGGAGCCCAGCAGCCTCCGTGGGGCCAGAACATAGTGGGCAGTCAGCTACGTGAGGAGCATCTGCCACACAGGAGTCATCATCCTTCTCTCCTGCGGGGACAAGGGCTGTGGTGGAACAGCCAAACCAGGGACAGGCACTATGGCCATGTCCTCCCCATGCCTGGGGCTGTGGCCTTGTCTCACCAGGGATGGGCGCTGGGCAGGGCAGAAAGGAGCAGTCTCTCACTCTGGGGATTACTCACGGCTGGCACTCGGCTCCTCCAAGGGCTCCGCCTGCGAGGCCACGATCTTGAAGACCGTTTTCAAGATGCTCCGCATGTCACTGGCGAAGTTGGTCTGGAGTTGATCTGCAACCCCTGCACCAGAAGAGGTAGGGGGTCAGGGTGCTGGGGAGCTCAGGGTGCTGGGGGGGGGTCTCAGGGGTCACTCACCTGAGATGCAGACGAAGAGGGTGTGCAGCATGTCCTTGGTGCTGCTGTACCGGGAGCGCAGCTCTGAGCAGTGGGCACCCAGGGCAGCATCGACACCTGTCCCTGGGCTGCTCTCAGGGGTCTGGGGGCTGAACAGAGGGGAGGTGACAGTTACCCCAGGGGTGGTGTGAGATGTCCTGTCCCAGTGGTCAGGGATCTGTCATCTCAGCCCCACTCCCTGCCCACCACACACCCCCACCTCCAGTTGGTGCCCGAGGGTCCCAGTTGCGTCATGCAAGTGGAGGCTGGTGGCGTGGCATGAGGGACCTCCAGGAGACCAAAGGGAGCAGGGGGGTCCTCTGTGGGCACAGCTGCTCCCCACACTTGGGGAATGTCCGGACCAGAGGGATCCTCCAGTTCGGCTGTGCACAGGCTCCTCTCCAGCAGACAGAGTTCCTCCACTGACAGCACCCGCAGCAGCTCCCTGAGGCAAGAGGATGGCATCAACCCCATGTCATGGCCCCCCTGCTGCCCCACGGCCCCACCCACTGCCCCCCACTGCATACCTGATCTTCTTCAGGAGGTTGTAGAAGGGGCTGAAGACCCGGGACATCTCCTCAGGGCTCCGCTCCAAGCTGAGGGGACCCTCGGGGTAGATGAGGAGGCCGCTGTGAGGGGACAGAGCTCAACTTACACGAGGGATTGCCCAGGACCCCAGTTCCCCATGGGGAGAAGGGGCTGGAACAGGGCAGGGAACATCCCTCCTTCTCCAAGGGCTGCACCCACCTGATAATAGCCAAGCGAGGGATGGTGAACATCAGCAGCGGTTCGTAGCCATCGATCATCTCCTGGGTCAGGTAGCCCAGGTGCAGGGCTCTGGGGATACACACACGCCCTCATAGTGGGGCTGAGCCTCAGGATACTGCCCATCCTTGGGGTTGGGGTCCCTGCCACCTCCACATGGTGTGCGGTGCCCTTCACTCACCTCTCCACCGTCTCACAGAACAGCACAATAATCTCCTGCTGCTTGTAGATCTCCTCAGGAGACTTCACTGCCACCAGCGAGGACACATAGCTGGAGAGATGCAGGGAGTGTGAGGCCCCTCCAGTCCTGGCACAGGCCCCCACAGCCCCAGCCCTGGCCCCCACCTCAGCTCGAACTCCGCAAAGAGCCGGTCGAACTGGACAAGCACAGCCCGGACAGGCTCTGGGTAGGAGTTGGGCTGGCTCAGGCTCTGCTCCCGCAGCACTGTCCGCACCAGCTCCAGGCTGCACAGCAGGTTCCTGGCCTGGGGCCGCAGCTGTGCCCTGTCCGCCTCCTCCACCTCTGGGAAGGTCCCAGCCAGCAGACACTGTTGGGACAGGGATCATCAGGAGCCAGCACCAAGGGCAGTGGAACCCTAACCCCAGGGTCAGCTGGTGATGGGAGGCCCATCGCCTCAGGGAACCAGATCCCCCATACAGCATCCCTGGGCTCACCTCAGCAGCAAACAGCATGTGGTTCCCCAAGTTGTCCACCAAGAGCTCCTCGGGGAACTTGACCAGGTAGTCCCGGCTGTGCCGCTGCGTGGGGATGCACTCCTCCATGATCCGCTCCAGGACGGCCAGCAGGTGAGCCTGGGGAGGGCATGGATGTCACCCCTGGTGTCTCAGGGGACCAAGTCACAGCGGGGGCCCAGCTGTCTCATACCTGGCTAAGGTGGAGCTGGTTGAGGAGCACCAGATACTGCTGCGGGTCCAGTTCGGCATCCAGCCCGTTGATCTCGGCCACCACCCGTGTCACCCTCTCGTCGGCAAAGAAGAACTGGGAGAGCAGGCGAGGGTCGGAGCGCTGCGGGAAGAGCAGAGATGGCCGATGGTGGGAGCAGCCCGTGTACTGGGCCAGGAGGATCCCAAATCCTCCTGGAAGGTTTGGGCCCCATGGATCCACCAACACCCACTCGGGCAGGTACCGCGGGACCCTCCCACAGCTCCTCCCGGGGAGCGCCGCCCTCCCCACCCACCCGTGCCTCAGTTTCCCCGGGGGCAGAGCAGGACGAACAAGCTCAGCCGCATCCCGGCAGCGCGGGCACGGATCCATGCGTGGCTGTAAATACCGGGAGACGTCCGCGGGAGCCCCCCATCTCCCTCCTCCCGTTCCACCCCGGGGGACCCCTGCCGCCCTCCCCTGCGCCCGGGACCGGCGGAGCCCCCCGGACGGGGGGCTCCGCCGGTCCCGGGCGCAGGGGAGGGTGGCCCCGGTGCCATCCCTCCCCAGTCTCACCTTGGGTCGGCGGAGCCACCGGCGGAGGGCAGCGGGCAGCATGGCGCGTCCCGTGGCTCTGCCGCCGCCCGGCTCCCCGCGCCCGCCGCTCGCCGACGGGGCGGGTCGGTACCGGGCGCCGCCCGTGGGGGCGGATCGGAGCGGTGTCCGCCCAGTGCCTGCACCGGGACGAGCCGTCAGCGCCTCGACGGACCGGTTCTCTGTGATGGGAAGGGTGAGGGGTGCGCCTCTCCCGTGGGGCGGGATGGGTTTCACCGCCGGCTCCTCTTTCCTGGCTCCAATTCCCGGCTGCATTCCCGGTTATACCGTCCCGGTCCCCATTTTCCCGCAGCTCAAACTTCAAGGGACAGGGATACCCCAGAGATCCCCTCAGCATGCCCTGCATGGTGGGGAGGCAGCAGGGGAGGCACCCGCAGATACCTTTACTGTGCAGGACATGGAGCGTGGAGCACGGGGATGCAGTGGGAAGTGAATAAAGCAGCTCCTCGGCGGGAGGAGAAGGCGCCGACTGGTCAAGGAAGTATCCCAAGGGGTGCTCGAGGTGCTGGGAACAGCAACCCCACCCCGGCTGTGCCAGAGAGGAGGTGTCTGCTCCAGACCTGGCGCTGCTGGCCACAGGATGTGGGCGCAGATAATTCAGGTGGCTGAAAGCCTAATGGGGTGGATTCACGGGTAAAAAATCCGTGGAGGATGGTTAGGTAAACAGGGCAGTACCTCCTCGGCTTGAGGAAGTCCCTGAGTCATGGCAGCCCCGCGGTGCCCAGGCTGTGCTGGACACATGTGCAGGACTGGCCCTGGTGTTGGGGCTCCATGTGTCCCCCACAGGCTCCAGGTCTGGTTTCAGCCGGGCAGCATATGCTGGCTCCCGTGGCTGTGGCTGTGTCCTGTGTCCCTG